AAAAAAAAAAAAAAACCCCCCCACACACGGAGGATGGAAGAAACCCTGCAAAAAATTTTCCCCCCAAAGAGAGAGAAAAAAAAAAAGGGGGGGGGGGGGGTTCCATGTATGTGCGCATGTGGGCTTGTGTTGGATTACTAGTGTTCTTTTTGCTGGTGGGATTGGGGGAGTCAGGCTTGGGGACAGTACAGAAGCCATTCAGACAGTCTGTTGAGCAACAGGCCTATTTGCAGATGTAGCTGTGAACTTTTCCAAATAAATGGCCTTCAACAAGTAAGGTCTGAAGCTCCATGACTGTAGAAACTGGAAGACTGGGACAGAGACATAGCTGAAGACACCCCCTTCTTAAGAGAAGAGGTTGTAGGTATGTGTTGGGGAAGGCCCAGAGGAAAAAAAAGACTGAGACTGAGAAAAACAATCTGATCTGATACTAATCAAGGCAAATCCCAGGTCACAGACAATGAAGCACCCAGATCTGAAGGAGATGACGGGCACTGTTGGCCAGGATCTAAACAAAAGTACTGCTTTTAATGAATGCATTTAGCAGTTCCTAAAAAAGGTTTTGCAAAGCAGTGGAAATTAGATACGGCGCCTGAACACAAAGAATGGCGACGTGAAGGATGGCAGGTGGCTCAAAGAGAAAAGCTGACCGATACAAAGGCCTGGGGGGGAAAAAGGAATGGAGTTTCAATAAATTTGCTGAAAACTGGATAAAGTTTTTAAGTAGGAAACAGATTCCAGATTCCAGCCTCCAAACATCGGGCCCTCTAGCACTGTATCATTTTTAACACACGTAAGGCATTTATTGAATGAGGACAGTGGTGTCCAAGTGGGGAGGGGTGTCAAAAAAGTCAAGATGGCAGCTGCAACCACCTTCTTGGCTTTTTTGACAGCCTATAGAGACACCCCTGAAAAATGGTGTTTACAAAATAAAACATGATTTATATTTTTACAGTTCATTAAAGGACTTGTGCCTGGGCAGACTTATGACAAGAGCTCTGAGCCATCCTCCTTGTCCCACTTGATATGCAAAGGAGCAGGGTCAATGTGACTTCTCCAAATGGTTGAGGTTTTAAAAAAAATAGAGGCAGTAATCAGCAGAAATTCAAGATCAGAATGCCTACCACCACCCCTGGATTCAGTGGTTGCATCTTGGGAAATCAATTCCTTTTTCAAAAGGCTGGGAACATTTTAACAGCTATTTTCAAGAAACTTAGGAGGTCTGCTAATACCTGCTGTGTGTTGGCTGCAAGCGTCTGGATCTGGCCCTGGACCACTTGGGTTCCAGACACAGGCTGAGCTAAGCGGATATACTGCAGCTGGCCGGCATTAAGCTGGACCTAGAAACAGCAGGGGGGAAGAAGAGGACACAGAGTTGGTTGCCTGGAAAACAGAACGGTCCTCTCATTTCCTAGGGATGCATGGAGAGATTAGACAGGCAAGATCACATAATGAGACCAGAGTTGAAACCATAAACACATGTCCTTCAGGTGCTCCTCCCTGCTATCTTCACCTCAGCAACGTAGAAGAACAGAAAAAGAGCTTGTTCCTAGTTTCTCAGCTTCTCTGACTCCAAACAATAAACAAACCTGGAATAAATTTACTTTCACAGGAAAGTTAAAGGAAGGGGTTTTCAGCCTGGGGATTAGGTTGTACATGGTACCTGCAGAAGGCATCAGATCAGCAGAAGGGTGGAGCAGGACTCACCTGGGACATTTCTCCCACCTACTAGCTGGGCTGGCTGTAAAGGACAACCATGAAAATGGAGAACGCAACAGTTAATGCTCCGTCACTTTTCTTTGAATTTGTTCTGGAAGAGGAACTGAGGCAGCCGATCTTCCAGACCTCCAGAGAAACGTCTGGAGCTTGGTGGCTAAACTAGATTCAGCAGCTGGTCTCTCCACTTAAAAGACAGAGCTGGGAGAAGCTTTTGCCTTGACAGCCTTGAAAAGTTGCTGTCAAAGAGAGAGAGAGCTTCTTGCATCATGAGGACCACCAGCTTGGAGCACCCAGAATCATTTTAGGAATTTTGAGAACATACCCAGAAAAGACTGAGATATCCTTGGTAAAAGTTCTAGGAAACCTCTTGTCAAGTTCATGAGACTTTTCTTCTTTAATCTGACAAGCTCCAATTGTCCAGCTTTGCAGAAAATTGGAAGGGGTATTGGACTTCACAGAAGGCTCTACCAGTGTCAGTGGGGAAAGCAACCTCTTATATTCTCCTCTCAGTCAGGGAAAAGCAGGCTGAAGTAACATACAGGCTACACAAAGCATGAAGAGGGGGATCTTGGATCTCCCCCTAAGGAATATACTTATTTCATGGTGCCACTATTATTACACAGCCTCTTCCTTTTGGCAAAATTCTTTGAAGAGCCACTCTTCCTCCCCAGGGATCAACATCACATATGCCCATGTACGTGACCAAATGCATGATATAACGACAGGCGGCTGTCATGGGCATTTCAATTACTTATTTAAAGCTTCCACATGAACAATGTAAAGACTTTGGGATGAAATTACATGGAAACAACTTGAATGAAGAAGTACCAGTGGTTCACATATCCATATTTCTTTTTCAAACATGAAGGGAAAGAACCCAACTTGATTTCTAATTGTTCTGATTAATGCAAACCCTGTCCCATTATGACACTCTCCTCGCCACACACCCCCCCTCCAGGATTGTGCCACCAAAATATGATGGCTAATCATTGATTTTCAGTGGCATGATGGCATTTAAAAAGAAAATGAAATAACCCCCAACACAGATGCATTAAATCTCAGGTACACTTAAGGCAACTATTTTGATGCCAAGAATCTCAGTCTACCCCCTCTGGTGATGTTATGGTGTCACTGCTGGACCTCTCAGGTTCCTCATTTTGCATTTTAAAAAGTACAGCCCCCACCACAAAAAGCTTGCTCAGCCCTGTTTTAGAGCAACCTCACTACATTTAGAAATAGTTAACCTCCTCCCTGCCCTATTTATACAAAATGCAATTATATTGTGCTCAGGACAGCATCTTTTAATAAAGAAACAGGTGGAGAAGATCTTTAGACAATCTGTCATTGATGCTCCAAACCTTGTGGAGCAGAAATTACAGCACTTGGACCTTGCCCCTCCACTGACTTCTCTAACATGCAGGATTTTTTTCTCCCCAAATAATCAGTCCCTGAAGGCAAAGGGCAGCCCCCCTGTTTCAAATATATGCTTTCTGCAAGCAAAAGCTTCTTTACAGCTGTCTTTCTTCAGGCACTGAAATATGCCTGCAGGGAGAAAAGCTGTTTGCAACTAGAGGCCCCTAGTTAGACTTTAACTAGAATAACTAACTCAAAATGGACAACACAGACATTAAGGGCTTCAACTTACTGCTCTGTTGCACACAACCCAAGAGCTTCCATCTGGGAAACAACTCGTTAAAGATAAGACTGGAAAGGCTGGAAGGGTCAGTTTGGAGAGAGACCTTCAAAACATGCATGATTATGAAAACAGGCATGGAATATTTTGCAAATATTTGTGCGGCCCTTATGCAAGCCTTCTGTGAAATATGCAGGACTTTTTAAATGTTAAATCAAACTATGACGTAAAACTGTTTTACAAGATGAGAAGGAAAGAAGGAAGTTGAGCTGATGAGTGGCACAGGATGGGAGTCTACATGGGGAAGAGGTGGCTTCGGCAAAGGTTTGAAGGAGCTGCTTTTTAGAACAGGCTTTCTCTCCAGAACTTGGCAGACAACATGCAGACCCAAACCTGACACAGCCAGCAAAAAAGGGTTAGAGCTGGTCATCCAGGGGTATCCGCGGGAGAGAATACAATCGGAGCTTTGATCGCATCATCGTGGCTGCCCTCTTGACGTTTTTTACCATACCCTGCGGACACCCCTGCAGTCACCACGACTCTCTTCTCAAATCAAGGCCAGGGCTCCCGGCCGTTTCTGCTCTCCTGCAGCTTTCGGGCTGATTTTGACTCTCACCGGTATTTGCTGGATTTCACCCGTGTTGGTGATGATTTGCTGCATAACTTGCATGGTTGGCCCGGTCCCGCTCTGTGCTGGCTGGGTTTGCCCCTGTGGCTGGGCCTGAACTATCTGCACCTGTTGCCCTTCGCCGACCTGCATGGTCACAGGAGTGGTCTGAAAAAAGAGACACACAAGAGAAGACGGAGGACATCTCAAATACATTGGTTCACTACGTTTGTGTCCTGCAACGTGACCAGGACAGGCTACTCTCAAAATCAGCAAGCAAGTGGAAATGCTCCCTTCTCTTCAGTGTCAAAGTCTTTTAGACAGAAAAGGCCTAAGATAGTGGAAAGGGCATTTATTAAAATTTTCAGATACTAATAATTAAAAAGCAAAACATAATCCACATTTCATTCTATTTTTCATTCAACTCATATCCTGTCCTTCCTCCAGGGGTTCAAGGTGACCTCACACCACTCCTCCAATTTTTCCCCTTGAGAACCTTGGCAAGCAATCATGATGGCCAAACATCATCCAGGGAGCTTTCACGGCCAAAGCTGGACTTGAAACACAAGGAAAGGGAGCTTCAGTCTGACAGGAGCAGCCAGAATTTCCAGTCCCAAAATGAGTGCCAGTGTTTATGTAGAGAGCACTGATTTCTCCCCAGTGATGTACCTACAGGTACAGCCTGTGGATCTCCTCCAACAACTAAGCTTCAGGAGGTATGGACAACATGTGGCCATCCAGATGTTGTTGGAACTCTATGTAGTCCCGGCCAGAATGACCCAGGGGAGGGAGAATCGGCACTGCAGCAGGCAATGTCTTCTTTCCTTGCCCCTCCTTCCTGCTTGTCACTTAAGAAGGCAGTGAGAAACCTGTCCCTACCTCCATTCCCATCCCCACCCTCACTGGGCAGATCTTCTGTTTGTAAGCCTAGGCAGCTGGTTTCCGTCTTAAGACTTGCCGTTTTGCCAACATTACGAGGTTGGATTTCCACAACACACTAAGGCTAGCCTAAAACAGGGCTGGGTAGTTTGTGGTTCAGCACATTGCAGGAATGCAGCCACAGCATGCTGGGAGAACCTGACCAATATATTAAGCCACAATACCCTAGTTTCTTTGCTTGTATGCAGCAAGGTACCCGTCTAGTGTGTTGTGTTTTGTTACCTCAATTTTAACAAGCTGTGTGAACTCAGCCTGTTATATCTCCCTTCACAGATCAGAGTACACCTGATGCCTCCCTCCATCCTGCTCCCCAAATTTAGAGGGCAAGCCATCTGAGAGGCCTGCGTACCAACCTGCCCTTGCTGAGGCTGTGCAATGATAATCTGCCCAGGCTGGATTGTGGTGGTGGACGTGGTTGTCTGCTGGCCCGTCTGCTGGCCCTGGACCTGGACAGCTGCTGGCTGCTGGGCCAGGGTGAAGTAGTACTGGACAGGTTCTGCTGGAGTCACAGCTTGGCGCACCTCCTCCTATGCCAAAGGAGAAGAGGAAGGTCAGGCACAGTAAACCTAAGCCTGAAACATGAGGATTCCACCAGAAGCCAGAAATGCAAACAGGTATGGAAAAGTTAGTGTTAAAGTTACATAATTGTCAAGATTTGTCTCCCCTCCAACTATCTCTCTCCCTTTTTCTTTCTTTTCTTTTTTTTTTTTGGAGATTGCGCATCAACCATCTGTTCTGCTCTGTTCTGCCTGTCTTACTTTCTCCCATTCTTGAGATAGTCTTCAGGTCTGGTGGCTGCATTTCCATTTTCTCCTGCAAAGACAAGCAGCGTCTGAGAGTGAACAGGCCTGCTGCTTTGGGGGAAAAGCTTTCCAGGCATGATGAAAGCAAGGAGTTATTATTAACAGTGAGGACAATGAGCTGATGAAAAATGCCATTTACTTACTTAGGTGACATTTCAAACCAATTTGAGTTCTTGGGGCAGATCATGAAGGCAAACAATAAAATGCAATAATAGCACAGAAGCAGATAAGAATAACACCTTAGTAAAACTACTACTGCTAAGGGACACTTTTTATCTTAAATGAATGCCAGGCATGTGCCTACCCTAACTCTCCCATCAAGGCCTCTCCCCACCTATCCTTCCTGGTTCTCTACCTCCTCCAAATGAAAAGCTGGAGAACACTGACAGGACAAACCTGGAGCCATACGCAGACACGTTTTGAGCTCCACAAGACATCATGAGGAGTTACAATTTCCAAGAGGACCAGTCCATGCCAGGAGGCGTAAACAACCTTCTCCCAGCCACCACAAAGTCACAGCTGAGAGTGTAGGATGTTTACACACACTGCTACATGGCTAGGGTCAAATTGGCAAAACACACACAAGGGCTACTGGCCAGTTAACTTCTGCCACCTTCTATCCAAAATGGCTGAGGCAAAAAAAGGGCACAGAGGATGCTTACCCCAGCTGGGACTGAATTCAGTTGTAGTGACTGATTGCTCAAAGGTGGTATCAACATCTGGTTAAAAAATCCACTAAGAATCTGTCCCTGTTGCAGAAGAGGGCTAAAGGACATCCACTGGATCACTCTCCTCCCTGCACGGATAAATCATCTCCATGTAGGGAAAATCAAGTATAAAAGTGACCCATCTTCCAGGGTTTTAAGCAGTGAATCCTGCAAGTTATTTTCTTCTTGAGCTTCTTTAGAAAGACAGGCATAATTTCCTAGCATACCCCCGAACTCATCATTTAAATACAACTTTTAATGATTTTGAAATCGTTTGGCACTTGGAATGACTACTAGGTTTGAATGAATCACAGCTTCAAAAGCACTACGAAACTCTTGTCTGGCCCACTTGCCAGCAATGATATCAGTGGGCACGGCCAAGAGATGCTGTTGCCAAGAATGAATTCCATCAACAACACATAAGGACCTCTTGTGCAAAGTCACTGGCCTGCGTCAAAGCAGCTGACCCTGGGCCCACAGGGTGAGAGAAAAATCTTTCTGGGAAAGAAAATCCCTTTCTGACTTCAGAAGAGTTGAAGGCTGCTGTCCAGACAGAATGGAAGCTGACGAGAGTTGCTCCTCTTCCCTTTTATCTAAAACCAGATTCACGTCTCTACAAGACATGAGCACCAGGCAAATTCCCATTTGCTCAGTGAGCTGGAAAAGAGAGAAGCTGACATAACTGGCTTCCTGCATTTTTCAGGGCACCCTCAGACCTGTGGGTTAGGGCGCTGTTCAGCCTGAAAGAGGCAATTGTGGTGAGAAAGATCCAGCAGGAACACCACTCTTAAGCTAGACTGTGCTAGAAGGCTCAAGATGTTAGAGCTCACTGCAGGCAGGTATGGGTGGATGTGTCTGACAACTCCTTCCATCTAGGATAACATGGGAAGTGCAACCCAACATATTTGGAGGGCACCAAGTTGAAGAAAGATCTTTTACATAATGGCTGGAAGTGGGTTATTTAAAAAGCTTCTGAACTACAGGAAGACAGATCTCACCAACCCTGACTGCTCCCTTCAGTGTATTGAGCAATCCAAGTGCCCTTTATATATTTCCAGTTTCATCTCATCTCCTCCTGTAATACCACATTGTTCTCAACATCTTGAAAACTCACAGATCCATGAGAAACTGTTTTTAGCTTTTCTTCCCCTTTTAAATGTGCACACTTGATATGCCTTTGTACAATAAGGAGTCAACTAGGTATGTGGAAGCTCCTACTTTATTTTTAAGCAGCCCTATTTTGTTTCCAAACTAAGGATAAAGCTTGACTGACAGAGTGCCTATTAAGGGAATGATAGGCTGAAAACAAGTAGAAGCAGAAACAACTCAGTGCTGCCAAGATGGGAATCCAAATGCAACTACTTCATTGCAGTATGATTTTGGTCCAGACCTCTGCAACGTATGAACCAGGAACAGGGTAAAAGTGTGATAAGGCAGTGCCACTATAGGCCAACATATCTGTAGAACTTGGTGCAATTAAAAAAAAAAAAAGACAGCCAAACATCCACAGCTGGCTTCATTAAATCAGTTTTTTTCAATCTAACCAATCACAGGGATACAAAACTCTTTATTACTCTATGTGGCTATAATTGTGATTGCTGGATTCTCCAAATGGTTACAAGGGATTACATTAAAAACACAGAATAGTCAAATGTATCTGTGTCTCTTCTAGAAAAACATAAAAATTAATTTAAAAAACAAAAATGTTGCTATGGGGCAATTTAAAGTGGTCTGTGGTAGTTTTGTAAGTTATATAAATGACCACGAAGGAAAAAAAAATGATACCTGAAGCTTACTGGAATATTTGGGAATATATGTCTTTTTGTTCTTCTTATTCAAGGGCACAAGTCAGTCCGTATGCAGACCTAACATTAATGAATTTCTACTCCTCCTTTTATACCTTAGCATTTTCCCCCTTTGTTAAAAGTTAATTATACTTTTGTATAATTTCCCTTTTTAATAAGGATACCTTATTGTAATACTACTCTGTAAGGACTTATATTTGCTGTATCAATAATAATGCATTTTTTTTAATGAACCAGGAATGCCAGCTATTCAAAGCCACAGAGAATTACTTGAGTCTGTTCCAGAGTTTCATGAAATCTGGAGTCCTGGAACCCTTGAAACCTGACCGGGGCAGAAAGCACTGCAATCGTTCCCACGTGTGGCCTCAAGGGACAACAGGAGGAGGACAGATATAAAACAGCGCCTTGCTTGTTCTATATTTGTAGTCAAGGCTTCTCTGAAACCAAAGCAAGTATGCCTTGGCATTTACCAAGAAGAGAAAGTGGAACAAACTTCAGAGCACTGCTATCCACCCTGCTGCTGGGAACATTAAGTGTGTGCAGTTCTTTGGAACCTCCCAATGCTGGAAGAAATTTGCCCCGCACCCCACTCCCTTGTGGCACACCTGGATCTTTTAGGAATCCTATGTTGGGGCAAACCTGATGCCACTGAGCTTGCCAAGGAGACAGAAATCTTGGTCTAGACTACACTGTTATGCCTGTTGTGGCATTAGGCGATTGACAATAGTGGCCTTCAAAAGCATTGCAGTGTTCAGAAATGAGCACTTGCACTCAGCCTTCTTCATTACAGGGCCCTTTGGTACATCAGTGTGAGCCCGATCCTATTTTTATGGAAGGAACAATATAAAATAAAAACACCATATTGCAAGGGTGGGAAACTTCCATTATCCCCCTCCAAGCTGGAGATGCTGAGAACAGCAGCTTAATGACATCTGGAAGATTACAAGTTCCCCACCTCCAAAGTGAGGCCTCTTGAAGGACTTTGTAATTTATTGGTATATGGATACTTCTACAAAGCCATATATCCCTTCTCTGATCCTCCAGCTGGAAAGGTCTGCCTTATTTTAAGCAGAGGGGAGATTTAAACCCATGGAGAGCAAACGTTATGCTAGGATCACTGTTTGTTTTACACCCTACATACAGAAATTCCAGACTTAAACTTGCTATACCAGCCGGAATAGAATTTGGACAAGGCTTCCCTGTGGTCACTGAATATCACAAACGGAAGTTAATGCACAGACATGGGATTGTATTTCAGTGACAGTAGGCTGTCCTCCTCACAATCCTGAAAAATCAACTTCCCCAACAAAGGGAGTGAGGCTTCTCAACAAAACGTCTTAGATAAAGGACAGGGGCAAACTTGGGGCTTAAAAGATCTGCTCTGTTTTCTACACGAGCATCAAGGCCCAGAATATAAAACAGTGGCTGAAGAGCCAGACATATGATTAGAGTTCCAGAACTGGGTATTTTCTGAGCACTTTTAGCAGCTCAAGAATTTGTTTTCAGGATAACAGTTAACCTCACAGGTTTCCCCCTGCAACCACAAACCCACTCCTCATTCCCCAATTTTCCCAAGCATTTTTGTATTTCAGTGACCTAATATAGGATGAAGGAGTGTGTTTTATTTGTTGCTCTTGTGAGTCAGACGTCCTTGCTGATCAGTTGAACTCCTCTCTGGAGGTCTTCCAAACATATCACCACTGCCATAAGAAAGCATGTTTTAATAAGAGGCAAAGGAAAGAGACTGTATACCTTATCTTGAGGTCTTTGGAGGTAGATTACAAGAGCACTAAATGTTGTAACTATTATAGTTAAAAGAACGCTTGCAGTGTTTTTAATCGGCCAATATTCTTCTGTATTCTAAGGTTGGTTTACAAGTAGCGACTGAATATATTCCAAATCTGGAGCTTTCTCAAGCCAGGTGTCACCCAAGGGCAACTCTTCAATACGAACCCATTCTGTTTCAGGAGAATTGTGGCAGCCTGCCGCTGTAAACATCCGACTGAAAGCCTCTTTGAGCCTGTACAGCTTCCAGTCAAGGATGTTTACAGGAGCAACAACTGCCCAGATAAATTCACAATGGGACGCTCGCAGGATGATGTATTCCTTGCTGCAAGAATACCATGGAACTTGCGCATGTTGGCTGATTCCCATGTCAAACGTCCTGGAAGATGTGGAGTCCTAAGGAAGATGGTGCTCTTCCCATCACCATAATTCTCAATTCAAGCAGGCACAAACTTAAGTTACCATTATAACTCTCTGTCCAGTCAACTGGGCAAGATTTTTTGACTAGGCAAAATACAAAAGTTCTAAGTGACCAACTGGAAAATGTGTCCCGTTTCTAAGCACGAGGCAGAAACCTGCAACATCACGCACAGGTTATTGCTTATGTAACAGGAACCTGCTGGGTAGGTAATCAAGGGCTCAGTTGTGAGCCCGGGAAGGGGAGGGGAGGGGAGGGGAGGGCACACACTGCCTTTCAAATCCATCCTCACGCTGCTTTTCACAATTTCTAAAACATTCAGTTATCTGAGTCAAAACCAGCAGCAATACCATGTGTTACGTTGAGATGAGAGGGGAAAAAAATGAAGGATTCTGGAGAATAAACTATATTAAATTCAACTGGCAGACTAAACGTAACCATGCTTACTATATACATACATCTGAAAAGAGGAGGACTGCCAGAGCTGGAGGAATAAGCTGTTTCATTCACAAGAGAGAACATAAAGTCTGGTAGGCATTCAGGCAAGCTGAACCTCAAGCTACATTCAACAAGTTGAAGCCCAACTGGATCCTGCATGCAAATCTGGGCATTATACAATCCTGATACAACCTATCAACCTGTTTGGCAGCTCTACAGGTGACTAGCCTCAGGCACGGCTTAAAGTGCCCTCCAGACTCTACGAGCCCTCATGGGGAATTAGAGTTGCATGCAACAGGGTTACAAGGAACTCCAAATTCCCCCACAAGCCCACTGTGCTAGGCTTGCTGCAGCTGAATCCTAACATCATCTAGTCTATCAGACTGCAGAGCAACAGAGAAGGAACACAAGGCTGCCCATCTCCTTCCAGAGGAGCCAGCTCCAGTGGGTTTCAGAAGAGGGGTACTGAAAGGGAAGCAGGGTCACACCACCTGTTCAGCTGATGGAACAGAACTTTGGGGTTCTTCTTCTCCTTGAATTGCTTCCATTTCAGTTGGCCATAAGACTATTGCCAAAAGCCACCAAGGTTAGTTTCATTGCAAGGAACTTCTACTGGTGTCTGCATCTTTTTCCTTTCCTACTCCATCCCTTTTATCTCTTGTGTGGTGCCTTTTTAGATTGCAGATCTAAGGCACAAATTTTCTTGCATTTAGTGGATCTGTGAGTTGCTCTAAGGAGCCTTTCGCCTGGAGAATAAGATATAAATCCACCTAATATCCCATAACTCGGTACAGAAATAAGATGGAACTTGAGTATGATTAGATAGGATTTTAGCCTGGTTTATACAAAATATTTACATATTTTGGGAGAGGAAAGCAGAACTTTCTGGCCCTACAGAATAGTCCCCACATTCTCCTTTTCCATGGATAAGATTTACATTTTGGGCTGCCCTGATTTGTTGGCTCGTGTCTTCTTCTTGATTAAAGCTTTTTTCTCTCATTAATTTCTACTAACCACGATAACATCACAAAGTTACACAGTTAATCAGATTTGGGCATGTAACATCATCACCAAGGGCAAACAAAGCACACTCCTTCTGGATTGATGAGGTCCAAGTTGCAATGTGAGCACGTGTATAAGGAACACACATGTACAAACCAAGCACAGATTCCCTTTCACCCTCACCTGCCGCTTTGGAGGTTTAAGTTCATCCCTTGGAACGATGTCAATGAGAAAGTCAAATTGATCGAACTTCGTGATGGCCATAGCAATATCATTTCTCTGTAACAGAAAGGAAGCACAGGTAACATTTGGTTTCTGTAACTCTAGCTGTCTGAATGCTGCAGACAGTGGCCTTAATCAGCTTAACAAGAAACAGCTCTCAGAGGTGGAGAGGACAATGGATGATGATGACATAAATCCTTAACAACCTGAAGATATAATAAAACTTGTAAAGGAAGGCTATTTTCAAACTCCCCAGCTCCCTGATGTTTATTCATTAATTGCTCTGCAAGATCAATCAATACCAAAGCCTTGCATTATGTAAAGTTACTCATTTCAAATACATGAAATGTTTTCAATTGCACTCAGTATCACATGGGCATAACTCAAAATCCATGTATCTTTTCTACAGAATACTGGGCCACTACACTTGCTCTAGGACTGGAGGCATGAAGGGTGATGAATTCAAGTCTCATCGATATCAAGGCTCCTGCATCCCAGGAGGCACCCTATGGCAAAGGGGAGATCAACCTGGCCTCATCCATTAGCCAGAGCAGTTTTCAGGGAGTTGGCTTTACCCTTTCTTGACAGAAAGAGCAACTATTTCAAAATTAAACAAGCTGACTCTGTACACTGGCCAGACAAGGCATTCCTGCCTCAACACTGCCATCATCTTTTCTCCCCCTCTGTGTTGTGGCTGATAGATTGTGAGTCTACAGCAGAGACTGTGTTATCCTTTACGATCTGTATGACATTTATTAAGCAGTTAAAACTTTCTAAGGGCTTAGCAATAACACCACTAATAATTCCAAAATGAATGAATGCTGTAAACTACCCACTAAGGAAAAATGCCATTAACATTATTTCTTATCTACTTTTAATTAGAGTTCTGAATACTTTGTTTTCCCCTAAGCATTTGTATGAAGCGTGGAGCCCAAGAATCTCAGCTTTCATTTTTCCCTTTATGCCAGGAGTGGGCAAACTTAGGGTGTCCAGCTAACATTTTGGAGGACTGCAAAATGGCATGGACTACTTCATGCACTGGGACTGCTTGTTCTTAACTAGGATTAATTCATCTTCAAACCTGTAATACAATTTCCATGCAGTTCTCATTTCAAATGTGCTAAACTGTGCTGTCAGTCTTCAGCAATCAGGGTTATTGTGTCACAAAAAGGGGCGAAGACTGCAGATAGCACCCCCTTGCTTTACTCCAAGGTACCAATCCTTGATGTTGCAAAGACCACTTGGGAAATGCAAAAGATTGGCACAAGGAGCACTACCACAAAGGATTTTGAAGTGCCCCCTATAGATGTACCTGGACAGTATACAACATCGTAAGCAACCAAGAGATTATCCCTCCCCCCACTTCAGAGTTATAAACAAGGTTATCCTATGTTTGTGGCATGTATCAGACTAGCATTTTTCAAACTTGGCAACTTTAAGATGCGTGGACTTCAACTCCCAGAATTCCGCAGTCAGCATGGGAAGTCCACACATCTTAAAGTTGCCAAGTTTGAAAAATACTGTATGAGACTCCCTGTCACACACTGCCCGTCTTGCAACACTGTTTCACAACCCAGCTCTAGGGGAAACAATTTGAGTATGTTGGTTAAAAGAAAAAAGGGAGGATTGTCAGCTTGCTGGCTTGCAAGATCTGCTGGGCTAAAATAGTCCACAAGGATTGCTAGAATGGTGACACAGCGGAATGTATGCTTTTTCCTCTGCTCCTGTAACTGTTTGCTGACTTGCAAAATGCTAGAAGTTTTTGGGGCAGAGGAGTAAACAGTGACTGGGTGGCTTCAATGCTCAGCTACCGGCTAGCTAAGGCAAACGAAGCGCAGACTAAATGGTGAACGTGTTCGGGAACCAGAGGCGGTGAGGAGAAAAAGTGGAAAAGGATATATTCAGGAAGCTATGCAAGTGAAACAGGTGGTGACATAGCTTCCTGAATATATCAAGAAGAGGCAGAATGAGTTTTCTAGCAATCGTGGCTTTATAAACAGTTGGCCAAAGCATTAACTCAACCCTTAGAGCGCGGTAATCATGATCGGGGACTTCTGGTAGCTTACGACACAGAGGGTTTTTTTGGGGGGGTATCTAAATTTTAGTTAAGGGGAAAGTTAGTTTAGGTGGTACAAGACAAGGCAACTCAAAAGGTGACACCCCACTCTTCAACCCCAATTCAGCTTCTGCAACCCCAGGGGTGAATTTCATACTTTTAGAAATGGCTAACTCATGTTCGGTCATTGTGCCGGGGGGCGGGATGGAAACTCTTTCCCCTGGATTTGTTCCCCTTAATTCTTCTGTAAGACTTAGTTTCCCTGAAGAAACAAACATACAGGTACTAACTTGCCCCCTCCCTCTCAACCAGATGCACAGAATGCTTTTAAAACAAAACAAAATAAAACAATGTAAACATACTGGACACCTAGTCCTGCATCTTTCACAGTCCTGTTTCGTTTTGTTCTCAGTGAAGTTTACAAGAGATCAAGGCTCGGCACACTGGATTGCTCAGTCTGTCTGTCATCCTGTCATCCTTTCCCAATTTGGTATCCTCCAGATTTGCTGGGACCACAACTCACAAAATTCAGAGCTAGGATATCTGAAGAACACCCAGTTGGGGAAAGGCTATACAATATTATTGGTTGCAAGCAGAAGAAATAGTCAACATGTATATTTATTTTCCCCACTAATCCCCCAAAGGACAGTTACTCCTATATATCATGCTAGTCTGGTAGTAACAAACAATCGTCTAATTATGATTTTAAAGACATTTCTGGAGCAGCAATAGCAACAGCAGTCCATCCAGGGCCTATTGTGTGGCAACATGGGACCCTGTGGCTCCTTTTTTTCTGTGCCTCTGGAGCATCCTGTCCCAGAGCACATAGACAGTCTTTGGCAGGGCCATTTTTCAGTGCATTAAGCTTTTGCTAGCTCTAATATATCTATTTGCTAATAATCCACAGGAAAAAAGCTAACAAAAGAAAACAAAACTATGCCCTCTTCAGAAGCACCTTTGCCACATCTCTTGCAACCTTTTGAGATGCACTACAAAAGAAAAAAAAAAAGAAAAAAAAGAGGAAAGGACCGAGTATCCCTCCTGGGTACAAGAAGGCCGCCTATGCCTGTTCTAGAGCAATTCAGTGGATGTTCCCAGAACATGCCCCTAAATGAATGCTGAAAATACTCTCCAAAAAGAATAGCCGGTCACCACGCCCCTGTCCCCCATCCTTTCCCCCCATGGGATTCTGGATGTGTGCGTGCAGTGGGAGCAAGATCTAGAAATGGAAACTGGGGGAAGAGTTAAGCGCCTGTTGGATGCTTCTTACCGTCAACTGGCTTTCAGGGGAAAGGCCATCACCAGGCATTGGCCTACCAAGACTGACTAGTAACGGTCTCGCTCCAATCTATCCTTCCCTTTCCCACCCCCAAGAAGGAAAGAGGCAAAGAGTGAAGGAGACTCCATACTTTCAGGATGCGAAGCAGTCCTTTACCTGCAAGGTCCTGCGTTTGTTGTCTTCGGTGTGAATCCAGGCTCGTAGGGTCAGCTCTGTGATGAATATCTGAGCAGCCTTGGCAAATAGAACAGGGGCTTCTGCACTGATCATCTACAAAAATGAGGGTGCATTTTACCTACTGACTGTATTAAAAGAAGACCATTGCAGAACCCACTGTCCAAAAAAACAAAAAACAAAAAAAAGCCTTCTCCGGGGCAAGTGAGAGCTACTAAACAACTTACTTATCTTGGAAAATAAAGTAGGCTACTTTATCTTCCAAAACGATCAGAGTGGCACGTATGGAAGTTATTTCTTTTGTCCTCACAGCAACTCCAAAAGGTGGGACAGACAGAATAAGAGGCTAGTTCAAGCTATTTGCTGAGTGTTTTAGATAAACAGAAATTTGTAACTGAGATTCCTCAGGTTTCACCAGCCCTGCGACAGGTTGCCTTCCAGATATGTTAGGAATGAAATGTGAAGAATTTCCAGCCAGAGAATTCCAGCGAATTCAAGATTTTCAACCTCAAAGAATACAAATATGAAAGGGCGTTGTCTCTGGGGTCTCACCTCCAGCCCAGGAAAATGGCAGAGAAGACAAGGGTGCATGTCTTGCTGTTTAAGAACAGGCGTGGCATGTTCCAAACCTTTGGCACAGAGTAGCCAGCTTCCTCACTCACACAGGAAATGTCTCTTTTAATTCTGATCACACTGCTGGCCTCAGTTCACTTCCTGTTGTTCTCAGACTACAATCCCAAATATAGTCCAAATAACGCTGTCATATAAAAGCATCTTAGTCCTGAATTTTAATCAGTTAAATGCACTTATGAATAATACCATCATTCTGAAGCATAAAGCACAATGAACCTTGTTTTTAGATGCCCTTCAGAAGCAGCATTTCTCTAGTGGGAGAGTAAAGTTTCTTCAAAGGTTGTACTAGGCATTCAAGGGTTTCTATGTATTCCCATTTTAAAAAAAAGTCTGCTGTCCATTATTTTTAAGTGGTCACAGAACCTTTTAAACAAAGTATTTTTTAAAGGAATAATGGACTAAATGTTGATCTCCTAAGTTTTAAGATATAAGTGAAAATGACCTCATCTGGTATTTTAAGAACCCTGTTTTCAGGAACCTCTTTGCAGAATTCTAACTTTGCACTGCAGGGTAGACATTTGACATGCGCACCCTTTGAAATCAACCCTGACCCAACCTGTAATTCCTTAGAAATAGGACAGTATTGCACACACAGTTCACTCCCTGGAGACCCAAGTCTATATTCAAAAGCTGGCCAATTCTCAAATGGAGCAGGGCAAAAACCACTCAATATTCCAGCGTTAAGACTGTTAAGCTGAGGAAGAGAAGCTGCAGCTCCTTCTGCGAGTTTGAACAATGGTCCATGCGACCAGATTCAATGTCTACATAAAACAGGGGAAATTATTTCAATGAACCATGGGTCATTTGCAAAGTTAAGTGGGGCACAGAGACCAAGATAAAAAATATATATCATTATCGAGTGTGTCTGTCAGGTAAACCTGTTTTTATCTTCTGCAACAATTTGAAAAGTGCCCTGCTCCAAACCAATGAGGATTTTCACATCGCATGGCTCAGGCGCTTTGCAAGGGTGTCAGTTTCACTGACCCCATTCCCATCCTGTGAGAGCTACAGTCAGCCTGGAGGAACCTAATCTTGATACTAAGAAAGGAGGGGAGGGGAGGGGGAGGGAGGGAAAAAGT